CTCAGAGCACAATAGATAGTGTGACGGCGTCCAGAATCTAACTGATTTTTATTTCATTATATTAATTCCATGCATTAGACGGAAATGCAGTATCAGCAAAATGCGATGGAAATGTACTTTATATTTGTAAAGGCTGACTTAGGCTTTACCGCTTTGTAATAAGGTTTATAACAGTGCGTTTCATCGCTGATTCCATTCGAATTTACTTCCAGATCCTCGGGGAAATCACGTTTTTGCTATACAACGATACAGCGCAGTACTGTCCGAGACTAGCACTGGACACTATATCAGCCATTTCATTACCTAGTGAAGAAAATTTGTTAGACAATGTTGACTTAGTACAAAGTTCATGTACAAATATCTCGACAGTTTCAACTGTATACTTAAAACCGCAAAGTAAGCTGATTAGCCGTATCGACACAGCCAGCCTAGCTCGCTGCCTATCCGAATATTGTCGGCACAACCGGCTCGGCAGTAATTAACCTCTGTGTTTGTCTTGCACGTCGCGCGTCGACAGCTCGGCTACCGACCGGTTTACTTTTACACTAACCGGCTTATCCTCACACTAACCGGTGAACGATTAATCCCGGCGGGCACTGAACCAAAGTTATCGGATCTAGAGTCGAGATAGAAAGCCGAATATATTCCAAACCGGCCAGGTTTTATAGCCACGTATTCGAACAATGCAGGACGTTCGGTGGACATACAATTTTTCCAAAATTTCAATTAGACATTAACGTTATCATTACCATCCGATCAAATGACTATTACAACATTACTATTATGTTCTCATACTTCCGAATAAACTGAATGTTCATAATCTATTATCTATTCCAGTACAAAACACAAACAACAGGTACCATTATTCTACGTTCCCATTATAACATAATAGCGCTGTTCAGTATAAAACCACTCAATGAACATTATTAACAAGTCATTTGTCAAATTCTAAGCTCTGCACTTGCTAGCAATTAATTTTTGGCTATTGGACCATCAAAATGTCGAGAGCATTTAGTTAACTGGACAGCGTGTCCGAAATTCAATCAATTATCAAATTGTATTTGCCATTAACAATGTAATAACGGCTATTGGGCATTTTAGTGTAATTAGTTCTGCCAATCACGTTTGAGAGGTAACTAAATCAATTGACAGCATACATGTTCTGTTTTTGAAAGTGCAATAGTTGGTTTCGTTGGTGAAAAAAACACATTTTATGGTTTTGTTAGTGCTTGTTAGATGTATTAATCAAGGTGCAACAACGTTTTGTACATTAGAACTTGAAAGTCAAATGAACTAAAGAATGAAACAACATAATAAGATCCATGCATTAATAATTAACTAGCAATTAGGTTAAATATGTAATGTAACGACATAACTACGGTACGAAGTCAAACTCTAAGCATATTAGTATAGATATCCCATTAAACATAGTATAACATAACAGTTTCCAAGTTTGCAAACAGTGCAGTAAGTGTAACGCGTGTAACTAACGGGTTAAGTT